TATGGGTAGGCAGTGTGAGGGATGTGCGATAATATCCCTGATCTTCGGTGTCATAGTCCTGAGGTCGCCGGTGAAGCGTCATAGTTTCTTGCGGCGAGGTAATATTAGGCTCGTGATCCAAGTAATAACTTGATCCGTGGGTACTTTTACAGTTCTCACACTCACTCCGATAATCATCATTATCATCAGGTGGAAGAGGCGGGGGGAGACACCGATACGAGCAACTATATGCAGCACTGTCCAACGAACTCTTATTCAGGTCATTCAACAACCTGTGATTACAAAGTCTTGTAGTATCGTTGTCGTCAGCCGCGGCACCTTCTATGACAGACGCAGGATGCAAGGATGAGTAAGTATCGCTAGTGGAAACCGCTTGTGCCGGTACGTTCACAGCGGTGGCGCAAGTCTTACTCTTGCCAAGGACGGCAGTAACACTGGGATTGAAACATTCAACAGGAGACAAAGAAGAAGGGGGACCGATAAGAACATCTTCGTAAAATGCATCTGAGCGTATTGCAGCAACCGCCCCTTCTTCCTCTGCCGTCATCGGGAAAGGCGAAGGTAACTCCATTAACCGTGAGGAATGTCTTGAATCGATGGGTGGTACAGATTCTAAAATGATGTCAGCCGATCGGGGTCTGGAAGGTTCCGACGTCTCCAACGACCGTTGTTCCCTTCCTACGGTGGAAATGGTGGGTTCAATCCGGAAACTCCCACTAGTCGCCATATTGATTGGAATGGTCCTATGCCCTGTTCCTGAAGTCATTATGGTGCTACTGTTCCCTCCTCCAGAATGCAGGGCGTTATTGGAAGAAGCGACCGCAGCTGCCAGGGCCGCTTCTGCTCTTGCTGCTGCCACGGCTTCTTCGTAGGGTGGGGGTGCCTCGCCGCGGGGAAAGTAGTTCCCCGGAGGTTTCCACAGAGGGTAGTGTGCTGGGGGCTCCTCGTAATGGAACTCTATGTGATGGTCCTGGCTGCCAGCTCCCAAGTAACCCATGCTGCCGGGCAAATACGCCAAGCTGCCGGCTATATAACCGATGCTCCCCAAACTGCGCTCGTCTTCGCTCAGCTGCCGATTCTGACGACCTACAATATTACGCCACAATTACTTGAAAATGCACTCAAGTTTCTGAGACAGATATGTCATACATAAACATCCCCAAAAACATTATCCAAGAACTCGCAAGTTTTAATTGTTCAATATATTTAATATATTTCTTAATACTGTGGGACTCAAGGTTCATTTCCGTCACAGGAAAGGCCAACCAATGGACCCTATACAGGCACTTTAATACCTTTCACATCAAATACAGCCTAAAACCATCTCTTAGGTCCATTTTGATTGCACCCTTTTATCTACAACTCAAGTGTTACAACTGATCATCTTCATGAGATGGCAGCACAATACAGCATTACAATGGATATAATGTGTATTCACATGAACTACAGAACTGAAAACATGTTTTCGTTAGTACCATGTTAGAATGGCAAACAATGATTTTATAAAACAAAATTCTTTTCAAAAAAAAAAACCACTACTTCAGGCTGACAACAAGATTAAACAACCCTTGCGTATAGTATACTACTATGTCGTACTATAAGTAATAGTCTGTTCTAAATGCGAGGCACAAATAACGCACACGTAGCAATTCTGAGTAACTGCTATGACCTGCTATACTTCTACAACCATAAAATTACCTCTTAACTTTCGCTGTCTAAGACGATGAATGAGAAAGACAAAGAGGAAAAGTGATAAAATTATAGTCACAGCGGTGGCAATAAATCGCAGACTTATTTCAGTTCCACCGTCGGGTCCATTTCCGTCAGATGATGTTTTGGGCAAGGTGTCATCCAGGCAAATAAATTCGCAACAAGAGTTGCCCACGCGGAATGACTTGCAATCCTACAAGAGAAAGAAAGCACAACGCTCAAAAATAACACAAAATATGTCGTGAATTTAGCACAATTTCTAGGTATCTATTTAAATTTATGAAGAGTAATTTCTGCAAGCACAAATAAGTAATATCTGTAGCAGTGAGAGGCAAATTTAATGATCTTAGTGTAAGAACTGCTGATACCAAACAAGACAGAAGGCTCGGTGGGCTTTAAACGCGGTCTGGACGCGACATAAAAGATAAATTCACGCTGCTACTGGGAATCAAATACAGTAGCGCAGTCTGCAACAAGTCACTTTACTGATCAAGCTATCAGGCTCCGTACAAATACAAATTCCTTCATAATGAAATTAAAAGAGTCCACAAAATTTTTATATTAGTCAGTTCAAAAACTATTGCAGCATTCCATACTTCTAAAAGAAGCAGAGACCAAGATACATCAACTAAGTTTCTGTTACAAGAACTTACGTTTTCAATATTACTACATTATCACATGAATAAGCAGAACTACTGTTTGCCGTTAAGGAAAGAAAGGTATGGTATTTGGGCCATATCATGAGAGGAGTACACTATGACATCTTAAGACTGATCATCGAGGGCAAAATATAAGGAAAAATATCCGTCGGTAGACCCCAAAACTCCTGAATGGAAGACCTAAGAAGATGGTTCGGATGCACCTCAACAGACATCTTTCGAGCGGCAGTCTCGAGGACAATGTTCGCCATGTGGATCGCCAACCTTCATTCGGAGATGGCGCAATGAGAAGAAGAAGAAGATCACTTCTTGGTGGGACAGTATGCCACTGGCCCAACGTTAGACATAGTTTCCATCATTATACTTAATTAAATTTCAAATACAAAATGACAAAACACAGAGACTGAAGATAACAACAAACAATAAACAGATGATTACAGATGTGTTGTATATGACAGAATAGTGCTATCAAAACCAACAGTACATGCACAACGCATATCTGACTGACTGCAAAGATGAAGGTGCTGATGTTGAGACACAAGACGATGAGAAACACATGTCGGTACTCCTCTTCTGACTGGATGGTCCATCCCCTACACCTTCTTGCCAAGGGCCTGGTGTCTGGTCCAGAAGTCATCCAGAATTTCAAGAAATTTGTTTGATTCCTGTTAATCACAGTAAATACCCGCTGATCAACCCTTGATCGCGACAATGTACAACAAGCAGAGATGACGGATGGCGTAACATTGTGCGGCATCATCCAGTTACCAAAAGGAGAAAAGATACAGAGTGGTACGTCCTGTGGTTATGAGGGAGACGAGACATTTCACTTCCCATGCCAAATTGTATACGTTGGTCACAGAACTGGGCATAAGAAGTCCTCGTGCAACTCCACTGGCCCGCTACCGCCACAGTGGATTGCAGGGATGATGAATAAGGTCGAAGGAGGCCTGCAACTCGGCCACGTACTTCCAGAGTTATGGTTACTGCTTGGGTCCCGATCCAGGTCACTGGTTCCTCCTTTCAAGATCCATCTTAACGTTATTCTCAGTCTCGTTGCAGGTCTTCAAAATGCCCATTTTTTGAGAGGTTTCTGCACTAAAATTCTTATGTATGCCTTGTCTACCTCATTCTAGCTACATGCTCCAGTCAATCACAGCCTCCTAGATTTCACTACTCAAACAAAATCAGGTGACGTACGTACTTTTCATACGTTGTGAGATGTTTATTAAGAATATAAGTTATATGAATGTGGAAACAGAATGCTAAGAAATAAATTCAAAATGAGAATAATAAACCAAGTGTTGGATACAACCACGCGAATAGCACGCAAACACGCGTTCGTCAACACAGTATCTAGCCTACTGGCCGGTAGCTGGGGTTAAATTCCCAGTACAGTGAGACTTTCTCTCTTCTTCACTGTGTTCAGACTGGTCCACCGAGCAGGTACCAGGATTCTTGACTCTGGGTACAGCGGCTGAGATGCAAAGCTCACATTCACCTCCATCTAGTGCTCAGGCTAAGAATGAGTGGAGCTATATCACCAATCCCCATACATCTGCACTGCATGGTGCTTTGTTAAGCCTGAAATTATCCTCCCATCTACGTCTAGGTCTCCCCAGTGGTCTCCATCCTTTAAACTTCCTGGCCAATACCCCACGCACGCCTCTCGTCCCCATCCATGCGTGCCATGTGCCCCGCCCATCTCATTCTTAATCATTCAACGCTGACTTAAACACTTTTAAACCACGATTTAAACTTTCAATGCCACCTGGAAAAACATTAAATAATTTTATCCCTCCTTATTTATTTATATATATATATATGCACCCTCCACCTGTACCGTTAACTGAAAATTTACTGTATTTGATTCTGATATAAGACTGCAAAGCTGGTATTAGCAGCCTATATACCACAAATTATATACAATTTTCATTATTTTATTTATTTTAAATATGTGGAAAGTATAACAAGCACAATGCTAAATAAATTCAACTGTAGTAAGAAGCCCCACTACGAAACTTTATAATCAACAAATTACAGTAACACGAACGCAGTAACACTTTGATTTATACATTTTTCAACGACAAATGACATAGTAATATCACGAGAACTTGTGTGGCATCTGCTTTGTTTTCAAACTGTTCGATAAACCTCCCAAGAACTGTAAATTATTATACATTATCATCAACCAATTACATGTAGAACTTTCAACAGTACAGACTTTAGACTAACTTTCTTTTATCATTATTTATTATTAACTGCAAATGGGTTTATACCCAGTGGCTGTGGTGCTACAATGAGACATAACAAAACAATAAGACACACTCAAAATAAAACAACTCATAAGATTACAAAACCATAAGGCACACACATTACTTACATTTAGGATTTGAGGTTTTCATGGTAGTGAGTCTGAAGATGGCTGTCTTCTAAGTTGTAATATCGTATAGTCTGGCAGAAGTTCACCGACGTTCCAGAGGTCCTTATCACCTCCATGATCACCCGTCAGTAAACTTCTGCCAGACTACATGGCGCAACAACCCAGAAGACAGCTATCTTCTAACTTACATTTGACAGACAAACAACACCTAAACGAAAATGCTATGACTTCTAAAGATATTCACCCCAAATTTCTGGGCCCTGATATAGAAAGAGACAGGGGCAGGAAATAAGAAATATGTAAGTACTGGTAACCTCAAATCATGTACTCACTTGTGGCGGAGAACACAGCACAGCTTTGCACCACTTCGGACTACCATTGTCACATACACATAATGTGCACGTATCTGGGCCAGGTACGTAATGTAAACCCGGCGCTATGGTTCGGCCATGGAGATCAGTACACTCTCCAGATGAACCAACAACAGCTAGAAAAAAAGTATAATTGAAACTTAGGCTTCTACTGCAATACACAAAACTGGCATTTAAAAGTCTGCAGTTAGCCTATCTTATTCAAAACACTAAATAAACAAGGCACAGATTTGGCCTACATATCATCATTACATCAATTAGTACCTGTAAAACTCAATGAATATGTGACACCCAATAATATCAGTCTAGTTTGCATGTTTACATTCTGTGTCGTTTCATTGTCATAAAAATTCGTTGTCACAAATTAAAGAACACCTTTAAGCTCGACATTGCACTCAAAGAGCACATTACTTCAGCTGGTACCGGAAGTTAAAGTTGAAAATGATCGATTAGTAAACATCTCACGGCCTCTTTCAATAATGCCTGGGGAACTAGCGGGACTGTAGTATGATGATGCTTCTGACCTGTCATAAGAGATCTAGCGCTGAAACATTACGTAGAAGAATAACAGCAATATGACAACGTAATGTATCAAATAATCTGAGAAGCTCAAATTAACAGTACACCTCCAGCTGAAATATGGCGAGTTCTCTCCTTTAACTCGTTGTGCTAAATGCATGGAAACTATAGTACTGATGCTGAAAATAATATTGGAGCTTTTCCTTAAATCAGAGTGCGTAATCTGAAATCCAAGTTTCATTCTACTTAGAATGAAATAAAAATAGACAGCCCTCACGAATTTCAATAACAGAATTTTATTCCTGTCAAAATATTGTGGATTTTAGGTATTTTGCATAGATTATTCATAACATATTGTCTTTGCCAAATAGTAGTAGGCGAATGAATTGGGTTGGTCAAATGGAATGAGGCATACAGTCCTTATGATAACCATTGGTCAGAGCAAGAGGGGGAAGGAAACGGAAGAGATAAAAAATGTGGGGAGAAAGTGAAACAGGAGAGGTAAGGAATCCGTAGTTGCAAATGTGACGGTAAATATTCATCTTATTTTACCATAATGTATGATATTGTTATTCAGAAAAATAATGACTATTCCATTGAACTTTTCAATGCAATTGAATAATTCCATTCTAGATTAGTCATTAACCTAAACTGTGCAAAAGTAGCATACTGATGTTTCTATGATTGTAGCATCACCTCACGAAAATATCTAATTCGACAGCTATCGGCAAATTAGCCTAAAAACTAAATATGTAATTGTGAATATGTTTCTGACAGTTGTTTTGGGCTAAAAATATATCCTTGTATAGTCTTGCATTAGCAGTGCTGAACAAGTAACCCAGTAATTAAACTTCAGCTACCAGCCCTGGAGTACACAGATTTGAATAGTTTCTGTATGATTGAGGTTAAATTTTAGACTTGTTAAATTGGTCTTTGATTCAGTACAACTTAGTCTCTTCTTAGTAACTTACCTTGGAATTCCAGAACCTTTGTAGAGTCCTTCAGAAGGTAATAGTTATGAAGCTAATCAGAAACTTCTGCCACCTTTTATGGTAATTTTCCATATTCACAAGAGCCCATCAACAGATCCTGTCTTGAACTTGTTGAACCAGAATCCAACCCACATCTGATTACTTTAAAATCTATATTAACAAAAATTGTATTTCATTTACATTTCTTTAAACCTTCAATGACTCCATTATCCCATGTACCACTCACAAACAGGAGACATTTTAATTACCGAGTTTCTTCAATTCAGTGACCAAATGAATAAATAACTAGAAACAGTAGAAAGAATAAACCTAGGCACTTGAAATGTAAGAATAGTACGCTAGGAGATGGAACTGGAAAAGGAGTTGAAAGAAAACAAAATACAGATATAGCTGTAATCTAAAAAATTATATATAATGATCCATACCAGAGATTATCAGGATCAAAGAGTCTCGTCAGGAGTTGCATTTTTATCACACAGCAATGGAGAAAGAAAATTCATAGTTACAGCCTTTCATACGAGTGGTTAAAAACTTTATCTTAGTATAAAAAAACCCTCAGGGACATTTTAATAGGGGGGGGGGGGGGGGGACTTTATGTATAATGAATATAAGATTACAAATTCCTTTTTGGGGCCATAAGAACTTTAATAACTACTCACAGTATGAAAGAGGTTCCAAATGATTCCAGATTATGTACCGGCTAATCAAAAATTGTCATCACAAGTAAAGGACAGAAGAGTGTGATATTCATTTTTTTTTTTCATTTGTCAGTTGTCAGACCTGAATGTACCAGCAAAATGGATAAAGGAAAAGAAAGAAGCTACCCTAAAAGATGGAAACCGCTGTAAAGGACAAGGAAATGATAATCCACTTGACTCAAAAGTTAACTCGACCAATGGGCATTAAATACAGACGTAAATATGTAATAGCAGGATCCGAGAGAGAGAGGAGGAAATGAAATTTTTGGGAAGAGACAAACGCACAGGGGAAAATGACTGAACACATGAAATTATGGAACAAGTAACATCATAAAATGAAGAAAAAAGCATGTTTAAAAAAACCCAGTTGTCGATATTACTGAATACAAAAAGAAAACTTACTAAATAATTTTTATTTGGACCACGTTTCCTAAGTTTATTGATTTTATCTCCTGTTTTCAGAATGCATTTTACTTTCTTTTCAATTCTTGCCTGTAATTGGCTTTATCGGCTGTTGTTAAACACTTTAATATATTTGTTTAAGGGCAAGGTTAAGACTGAAGTTTACGAGATGTTTCTAGAGGAAAGAATTGTAATAAAGGTTACATAAAAGAACTTCCTGAGTTCACACATTTCATTAACTTAATTTTCAAAGAATATAAAAATTGCAGTTTCCATCCTGTTATTACCAAAATAAAGCAGTTGCGTGGAAAAACATAGTCCTGGGTTCAAATCTTGGCCCAGAGATATCATTGCAAAGGTTTAGTGGCTTTCCTCAGTACCTCCAGGCAAATGCTACGATAAATTATGCCACGACTGCTCCCTTCCCAATGTAAGATAAGAGTTAGCCCCACAGAAAAACAATTTATTATATTATATACTGTATTATTAACCATCTTGAAATTCAGGAAGTCTCGTTGACCGCTTCTGGCACGACATTTTATTTGTGTCAGATACGGTAGGAAGTAAAGACTCTCGAAACTGCGTGATCTCAGGAAATTCTGTATTTATGGAAGAAACATGAGACACAATCCTATAAAAAACGGAGGTTTCATTAACTGGCGGAGATACACGATGCACAAGACCTGTAAACCATCTCACATGTACATATTTCAAACTGAACGTTCGGTTATGTGTATGGCGTATTATCCTGATCACTAACAATCATGATACATAATAATGTATTTTTAACAATAATCACTAAAATAAAAACATGAAACTCTATTTTTGTACATAATAGATGAACATAATGGAAATTTATATTCAGCAAATCAGAAACTGAATAACAATATAAAATATGACCGGCTTCGATATTTTATTGGATTGACATTCAAGCCTCTAACTTCTTGCTGCCCTGATTTTATAATTTTGCTAATACAGAAATAAAAAAAATATGTATGTAGAATCCACATTGACCCAATTTCTTTTCTATTAGAATCACAATCGGAGCGCACAGACTACGGTGTCTGTCGAACGTCGTCTAGGAATGTCATAAAAAATAATACCAATGAACTATAAGAAATAAGAATTTTAGGAAGAAATTACTTTCTACTTCATTCTAATGGCGAGACCAACAAGAATTACAAATAAGTAATTGTACAATTTAGTAAAATTCTGCATATATTTCACAGCTGCAGTTTTCCCAGCAGATAAAATTTGTCAGAAATATAAAATAAGCTTTCATATAAAATTTTTAGGTGTGTTTATGATCTACCATCATATTCCTATTTTTATTTGCAAAGGTTCATTAGTTGTGACAAAAATTAAAAAAAAACAAGCTAAATATAAATTTTGCATTGCCACTGTTATTTACAGACTGGACGACCGTGGTTCGAAACCCGACGGGGGCAGAGGATTTTTCCTCTAGCCTCTGCGTCCAGACCGGCTCTGGGTACTGGGGGGTAAAAGCGTGGCAGGGGCGTGAAGCTGACCACTCACCCCTATTTAGTGTCCAGGTTAAGAATGAGTACGAGCTATACTGTCTCTCCCCCCCAAGCGTCTACATGGAGTATAGTGGGACAGCTTTACTTTACTTTACTTTTTAACTATGTTATTTCACATTCTACAAAAATGTTACATTTACAAAGACGCACATTGTATGAA